CTCAATTTTGGCCAATTTTAGGTAGTCTAAACAATTCAAACTGTGAAACCTTTGTCATAGGGGAATTCAAAGCCTAAGGCGCGAGAGCTGTTATGTGCTTTTATTGATGAATACAACATGGCAAATAGTAGATATAGTTTGACAGTTCTGCGCCCTCCGACGCCTCCGACGCCTCGGTGACGTCTGCGCATGCGTCAACCAGGGCGTCGCGACGCCGTGACGTCATCAGTCAGCTGTCATCTGTCAATGTCAGTCAGCTGTCAATGTCAGTCATCTGTCAATGTCAGTCAGCTGTCAATGTCAGCTGTCAATGTCAGTCAGCTGTCAATGTCAGCTGTCAATGTCATCTACCTGAACTACTCCAACTCACCCGCTCTCTGATGCGCCATCTATAAACCCCGTATAACATTACTGTGTATTTTCTATATTTCTACATGTACAGATGAAAAAAAATACGTGAAACATACATGAAGAAATATAAAGAAACAGATGGGCTTAAGAAAAAAAAAATACCAACCTCAAACAATTTTTTATTTAAAAACATACCTTTTTTAAGACTCAACTATTTCAAAAAGCGATATTTGGTTTGGTCGTCCAACATCCTTCTGGCCTCTGTATATTATTGAATATTTTCCATCCATAAACTGCTCAATATGATCTTCCAATGATTTGGTGGTACGTTTTGGAAGAAACACTGCCTTATCGTCAAGTTCAATGAGGATACTCGGTCCGAATTTACTTTGGGTTTTTTTAGCAGAAAATATTGGGTACTTTCTGCCAGGCTCCATGTCTTGTAATTTCACAAGTGTTTTTTGATCCTTGAAGAGGCAGGTATCGTTGATTGATTTCAAATCCATATCTAAAAAATATTCTGTAGGTATTGATATTAGTATATAAAAGATTTACTTACTTGTTAAAAAAAAAAAATGTGCAATAATTAATAATTATAATGTTCGCTGTTGGACAGACAGAAAAAGACTGAAGCTCGAGTATCATAAAAACCGATTTAAACCTCAACGTACATACAATAATAATTATTTCAGCAGTGTTTGTTTAAATCTATCCATCATCGTGTAGACTTATAGCATATGTTGTCATTGTTTAGTCTACGGACGCAACGTTATTAGTACTGGAAAATAAATAACGATAAACAAACTAGGTAATACACTTAGTTAATGTATCCGACCGCGGATCCGACTTCATAAGGAAGGTATTTATGTTTATTTGGATTCCTGAGAACAGAGAACATCACTTTCCTGCTAGGTATTAGCAACAAAATCAAGCATATGAACCTATAAAAGTTGTGTTGTATATTTTTGTTGGTGATTACTTTTAATATCAATATTTCTAGTATGGTAAAGTGCTGTTCTGTGTTTTTTGATGATTGATTGATTGATGATTCAAATTTTATTCTCCTTGGCGTCAATTGGCTTTATGCTGTAAAGGATTTGACTTGATGTCAAGGTTGAAATGATGACGTAAAATTGATATCTCACAGTCATTTCAATGAACAATTGAAATTGGTATGCGAGATTGACAATCAATCAATCATTGAAATTGGCATTGCATTGAAGTCAAGTAACCTTGGAAGATTTCAAGAAGTGGTATGCACTAGGAAAAATTTCAAATTAAATTGCAAGTCAACATTGGAAAACGTCAATTATTCCAACGTAAGAATAAAACTGTCCCGTCAGGCGTCTTGAAATCGATTTCAACCAAGAAACTTAACCTCAATTTTAGTTTATTTTGTGTTGTGCTTTTGTTTAACGGTTTTCTGTAGGTCTCTTTTAACAGCACTAGTGCATAGAAATGGATTTAATTCTATACGCGGAATTATTGGAACTTGAATTGCAACGGTAAGTAGAAAAAAGATACTTGATAGTGATTATTTGAATACCAAGTACCTAACTCCTTATATTCACTTTTCTAGGCAAGATTTGAATAGGGATAGAAGGTATCTAAGAGACATAAGTGATCCTTTGACCTTACCCGAAAAAACTTTTAAGGGGATTTATAGAGTGCCAAGGGAATTAGCCCATTGGTTAATATTACAGATTGGCCCACACATGAGAGGAGAACGATCAACAAGCATTCCAAAAGCTTTACGTGTAAGTGTTTTATGCTACATAGCAGTGGTTACTGATAAGGACAAGCTAATAAAAAAAATACCTGGTTCTACTTTTGGATTTGTTTTTATGATAAAATTAACTTCTTTTTATTAATACAAAGATTAGTTATTTGTAGCATTACATTTCTTGGGCGCAGGATCTTATCAAAAAAATGTAGGGCAAGACTATTTGACCAATATGCATCAAAGTTCTGTAAGTCGTTGTATGTGTGAAGTAACAGATTTAATTGTCGAGTTTCTTGGCCATGTTATAAAATTTCCTGAAACGGAAGAAGCAAAGAACCGGGAAAAGCTGTTGTAAGTATCCAAAATTATTTGCTGAATTACCTATTCTTCAGTAAAAATATTTTCAGATTTGCTGAAAAAGGTGCATTTCCTGGGATAATCGGATGTGTCGATTGCACCCAAATATGTATAATTTCACCAAAGACTAATGATCCTGAAATGCCAGGCGTTATTTTTTATTGCAGGAAGCAATATTACAGCTTAAATGTACAAATTGTGAGTAATCTAATATATGGTTTACCATATAAATTGAAACAGCCTAATCTGATTGCACGTTTATTTTTGTTTAAAAATTGCTGGTACAGGTGTAATTTGATTTTCAAAGGGGAAAGTTGTGTGCAACTATTTTTAGCACTTCCAACAAGGGGTCTAGTGATAACTCTTTTAAAAAAGCGTTCAATTTTGTTTCATTTGATATAATTGGGAGAATAATTGAACACTCTTTTCAAAAGAAATATCACTTGACCCTTTGTTCCATTTGAAATAGTAAGGGTTGGTTCCACTCTCCTAGAGGGTAGTGGAAGTGTTAAAAAGGGTTACAAAAAACTTCTGACTCTGAAAATCAAGTTACGTGTACCAGCGACTTAAAAAATAAATAAAATGTGGCATCAGACATATAGCCTGCTCCGTTTTAAATGGTTCAACCTGTATATTTTTATTATTATCCAAACATTAGTTTTATAATTTATTAATTAAAGCTTTTAGCGCTTCTTTCATTGTAGCTTATGTTATATGTTTTTTTTTTTTTTTTTGGCATCAGCCTATAAGTTTATTTTTTAAATAATCATTTTGTTACCTACTGTTAGGTACTTACTAGCTCCTATTTTTTCAATTGAAAATGGTAGATTACATTAATAATCTTCTTTCATTTCATTTTGATTCACAGGTTTGTAATGCAGAACTGAAGATAATGAATATAAATGCCAGATTTCCCGGATCAGTGCACGATTCGGCCATTTGGCAGACATCTTTAGTGCGGACTCATCTTAGCAACAACTTTAGGCAAAACAGAAATCAATTTACATACTTGTTAGGTCAGTATCATAAAGCACACTCTCCGTTTTCATCAAAATGACACTACCTCCTAGAGAGTTGAAGTGTGTGCTGAAAATGGTTTCAAGACGCTTTTCCCTTTAAAAGTCAAATTAAGTGTACATTACGAGCGATTTTGTAAAAACTAAATGTGACATCAGATATTTAGCCTGTTTCGTTTAAAATGGTTTATTAGATTTGGGGAAATATAACATTGGTATGATAATTTAATTTGTAGGAGATTCAGGTTATCCACTTGAGCCATGGTTGCTTACACCAATTGCCAACCCACTCAATAATAACGAACGAGAATATAATCGTGCCCATAAATCAATCCGGAATAATATTGAAAGGACAAATGGAGTTTTGAAACAAAGATTTCGATGTACTCTTAAGCTCGAGCTCTTCATTATGATCCAGTTAGAGCAGCAAAAATTATATATTCCTGTGCAATTCTTCATAACCTGTGCATATTAAGACATGAGAATTTGGATGGTGAGTTGAACCCTGAATGCATTCTCATAAATAAATATAGCAAAAACTACTATATGTTTCAGAATATTTAAATAACAATGACAATGGAGAGGATGGAGAGGAAGATCAGGACAATGGAAATGTGAATAGACGAAATAACTTACAAGAGGGTCGCATTGTTCGGGACAGAGTTGTTCAAAATTATTTCAATGATTTGTAACATTAAAAAATAAAAATAGATCTCAAATAAACACACATTTTTATTGTATATTAATTTAATTCATTGTATCACACTGTCCACACTTATTTTTGTTTTCAGTCTAAATACATCGAGCAAGTTTTGAATTGCTTTATTTAAAATACCAATACTTCTTTCAAGTTCACTCAAATTTTTTTGTAGTTCGTTTAGGCTTTTCTTAAAAACATCAATGTGGTGAAAGCTATGAGCTGAAAATATGAAATTATTATAAATAAAACATCTGATGAAAAATAATATTTACTCCAAGAAGTATTATTTCTGGGCCTTATTCTTTTCTTTGTTTTTCTGATCTTATAAGTACATGGCACCTTTTTAAACCCCAACTCAATAACTTGAGGATGACCATATATTAAAATTTTAGACAAAACTTCTAGAAGTTTTCTCTCCAAATTAGTAAGAATTTCGAATATAGGAATTCCGCCTCCAGTTAATTCTTGTTCAAAATGGATTCGTCTGGCTTTTGCTTTAACTTTGGCTTCCCACTCAGAAAAAACCTTGAAAAATAAATTAAATGTGACTTGAAACAATAAATATCGAAGACTTATTACCCTTTTCCAGTTAACAATACACCTTACTGGGCCATTTTTTTCTTGATTTAACTGGAGGCACAGTTCTTTGAAAGATTCTTCATCATCTTTCTGAAAAATTCTCTTGTATTCTATATACATATCAACTCATTTATTAAAGTAGGTTATTTGAAATGCTTTAACCGAGGCTTTCACAAAAAAATAAATCAACACAAAAATAAACTCAAATATAAACTCAAATAGGTATAAAAAACAAAATAAAAATACTAATACATAAGTATGCAAATTCTAAATTCTAAATTTCCTCATTAGGAACAGTTTTATTGCTCTGGTTGACAGCAACAGCCAAATTGTTAATTGAGTCAGCCACTGCCAAAATCGATTTGGCAATTTCCAGTAACCCTTTACTGGTTTCATTTACATGCTCTTCTAGCACTGAAATATTAAAAAGGAATGTAATTTATTTGAAAAGTTATGTACCCATTTGTTTCTTTTATTTGATCATACAAATTTGTGTTTTGTTTTGGAATTCAAAGCTAAGATGCAAAAGTGTTGCATTGTTCACACATGCAATTACCTATTCTTCAAAACAGATTTTTCTAAATAAGTATTCAATTTTTCTAATATTTTATTCGTATTTTACTCATCCTAAAAATATCTTTCCTCTGAATTTTTATAATTTTTTTATTCCTTTTTGTGTATTTCATTTAACTAAGCTTTTCGCTAACTTGTACAATTCCTGGCAAATTAGATGATGAAACTAAGGGAGCTAGACTGTATGTATAGGCATTACAAAATTAACCAACATTTAAATAAGTGACTTGTGACCTTAAGGGCGGGTATTATAAAACTGCTTTGACAGTTAACTTTTTGAATTACATGTAATTCCAGAAGTTAACTTTAAGTTAACTCTCAAAGTAGTTTTATAATACCCGCCCTAATTCTTGCAGATTTTGGACTCAAAAAAAAAAGGAAAAGAGAAGTAGAAACTTATGGCATGTTTTCATACTTACATTTTGTTGAGTTTAAGGGCTTACGGGTCAATTTCCCCTTATTAACTTTTGAAGGAGCTTTGTTGTTCCCTTCTAGATTTTCTTCTTGTACAGTCTCAGGAGATTCCTCGGGAGATTCTTGGGAAGTTTCAGGTAACTCCTCAGAAGTGGTCGGAACTTCTGAAAACTCTTGGTATTTTTCCAAAAAGCCATCCTCTTTGACAGTGAACTCTTCTAGAATACATTCCAATTGATAATTAGCTAAATGAATCTTAACTACATCTTAACTATATAAATTAAGTAAAAATGTTACAAGTGAAAGAGAGCTAAGAATAAGATGAAAGTACATAAAATAGGTACACCATATACAAAAAATTCACAGCATTAGCTTGAGCAAAAAACAAGGATGTCGAAAAAGGTATTCTAAGTAGTTTTCTACAAATATTTAAATTTTCTACATTCAATCAAGGTAAGAAACTTACCAGGTTGTCCTTTCAACCCAAGCTCTGGAATGTTAGCTATTCCAGTGCAGCTGATGAAAAGACCTGTCATATTAGCACATTTTTTTTCAATTTCGGTTAAAGGCTTCTCACACCTAATTTTTGCTTTGATATGGGACTTCCATTCAATAAATGCCTGAAATTAAACTGTGTTTTAGATAAGTAGAGATGGAAACGTGAATTTAGAATCTTGAGGCCAATGCAAAAATAGGTACCATTATAAAAGCCAATTTTTCAAAAGGACATCATCTTACCATATACTATACCTAGGCTAGGGTCGATACTTTTGCTCTCGATTAACGAATTTAATACGTCATAAAAGTTTTGCATGGGCCAAGGTCTATAAATATAATGTGGTTAGAACACATTCTTACACCTGAGTATTTTTAAGGGGTGTCAAATGGGGGCAAAAGTACCAACACTAAAGTGCCGGCACTTTTGCTCTCATTTGACATTCTTTAAAAATAATCAGGGGTTAGAATGTGCTCTAACCACATCATACTTATAGACCTTGGCCCATGCAAAACTTTGACAACTTATCAAATTCGTTAATCGAGAGCAAAAGTACCGGCCCCTGCTATCGACATTAATTTCCTACTTAAATGAGTCAAGACAAACAGTAAACAATCTATACGGCTCAAACTATAAGTGAAATATCCACCTTTTTCCAACCTTCTGCAGTCTTTTCTGCACCTCCAATACAATTCAAAGTTTCCGATATTTGCTGCCATGCTTCCTTTTTCATGTCGGGGGTACCTTTACCCCATCGAATCACATCGGATTCCCAAACTAAGTCCACTAGTTTTTTGTACTGCTCCGGATTTGCTTTCTTTGGTGGCATCTATAATAGTGTTTATACAAAATTCATGTGATTATTTTTCTAGTAATGACCTACCAAGTTTAAGATTGCAAATTTAATATTTATTAGGTCGGTTTCTGCAGAAATCACAAACCAGTCAGAGCTTAATTTCATTGGTTGAAACTAGTTTTCTGACGGTTTTTAACCAATAAAATTCGCTCTGACTGGTTTGTGATTTTTGCAGAAGCAGACCTTTACTTGCTCTTATTTATCAAACTCACCTTTTTTATACTCACTGAAAAAATCACGACTATAAACTGATAAAATATACAACACAACCGGGAAGCCGGGAAAACGTAAACGATAAACAAACCTCAAGAAAGTTAGGTTATATCAACAATCGGGTTTCTTTTCCGCTTTTTCTGTTTAAAGACAAATGGCGCTTGCAAAATCCGACGTTGCCATCAGTAAACTTGAAACCGATTTCAAACAATTTTTATTTCAAGTTTACCTAATCAATTTATCTTACTGCATACTGATTTTGCTTAATATTGATGTGCGAATCAATTTCCCTTGAAATGATTTCAACATTGACATTGAAGTCAATGTATTTACTGCATAAAGCCGAATATAACTAGAACAAACAAGTTTGCGCTTCAATTCGACCGCAGTCAGTTGGAGAGGCAGCAGCAACAACAGCATTCAATACTAATTTTAGTTTATTGTGAGTGATTGTGTCAACAACAACTTGAGTTTCCTTTTTCACTTACATTTACACATAATTCAAATACCTTTTTCTAAAATTTAGGTAGGTACTTTAACTAATTTAAACTGGTTTTATTTTTTCATTCATTTTAAAACAAACCTCCATAAACAGCGCATTTTTAATTTCGTGAATATCTGCTTCAGGAAATGTTTAGCTGCAATTTCTGTACCAAATCGTTCACCAGGAGGGATAACCTGAAACGTCATGGAGATTGCCGAACATCTGCCAGGATCTGCAACCAATGTGGTGGGATTTTCAAATCGGAGGGGGCTCTCCAACGCCACCTTCAAGAAAAACACCCAGCCCCGAGAGCCCCCAAACGAAAGGCTGGAGATCCCGCCACCCCCATGACGAAGCAAGCTAGACTTGACCAAGTTGCCGGTAAGTTAAAATTGAATAATTTTTTTTTTCTTTTAAAATCTAATTTAATTGTTTTCAGGACCATCAACATCAGCCACAGGCCGGTGGTGCGAGGATTGCGACTTGGAGACTCCAATCAGTCAATGGGCTGGTCATCTTAGGAGTCTCCAGCACCGAGCCAACACCTGTGTGGAGCAGGAGGAAGACGTTAGCCTTGTCAGAACAACATTCAGGAACCGAATTGCAACATACCGGCTTTCATCGAAACAGGACCCTACCAGCGCGAAGCACTTTCTAGAACATCTTCAACAGAAATTCGTCAAGCTGGTAGGGGATATGGTCAATAAATTTGGCCATATCAAAGTCGGTGTGGAACTTTTCGGTCGCTTCCTCCTGCAGGCAAAAGAGCAAGAAGAGGTCAAGTCGTTTAATAGCAAATTCCGACTGGTGAGCGATGGTGCAGATCTGGAGGAGTTGTTCCAGCAGTTTTCTGTCATCCTGGACAAGAAGTCCACAGAATTTCAGGAGAAAGAAAGTGGTATGTATTATTTCAATTGCAATTTTATATGCTAAATAATGTCTTTTACAGGCTGGACGCTCCAACAACTCCTCCATCTAGTATTAATAAGGTGAACCCTCTAAAAGCCTCGTCATATCTACCACTGCCTAAATAGATAGATGCGAAGAAAGCTGTCCTGAACATACAAAATAGCGATCAGAAATGTTTCATGTGGTCGGTCTTGGCTCACCTACATCCAGTTGACAGAACTCAGCATGCAAATAGAGTCGCGAACTATTTGCCTTTTGAGAACGAGTTGGACTTTACAGGTATGGAATTTCCGGTTAAACTTAAAGACATTAGCAAGTTTGAGCAGCTCAATAATATTTCCATCAATGTTTATGGATTAGATAACGCTTATGGAAATGGTAGAAATATTATTGAAGTTGTTGGTCCCTTATACTTTACTCAATCTCGGAAAGCGAATCATGTAAATTTGTTATTAATCAGTAATGATTCTGGTGATAGTCATTACTGCTTAATAAGAAAAATGTCTCGCTTGATCTCGAGTCAATTATCTAAACATGATGGTCAAAAGTATCTCTGTGATGGTTGCTTGGTGTATTTTTCAACAGAGCAGAAATTAAAAACTCATCAAGAACACGATTGTGCCCATGTTTCAGTTAAATTACCGACAACAGATTTAAAGAAAAATAAATACGGTGAAGAGCTTCCCGAGAATATTCTGAAGTTTATAAATTTCGAAAAGAAATTAAAGGTGCCTTTTGTTTGCTATGCCGATTTCGAGACAATCATTGAACCTGTTGATGCAGAGGAAAATGAGCTAGACCCCGAAAATTCCTATACCGTTAAAACTCACAAGGCTGTTCCTTATTCTTTCGCCTACTACATTAAATGCGATTTCGACGATTCTCATTCGATTTTCAAGACTTTCAGAGGACCTGATGCGCATAAAGTTTTTGTAGAATGGTTAGAGGCGGACTGTAAATCAATCTATAATCAATTTATGAAAAACATAGTGCCTATGCATCCTCTGAGTCAAGAACAAGAAAATGAGTTTCGCAATGCAAAAAATTGTCATATTTGCGAGAAACCATTTAAAGTAGAAGACGAAAGAGTAAGGGACCACTGCCACTTTACAGGTAATTTCCGTGCTGCAGCTCACTCTGTATGTAACCTAAATTTTAAAACCCCAAACTTCATCCCCATCTTCTTTCACTGTATGTCCAATTTTGATTCTCACCTGTTTGTCAAGGAGTTGGCTCAAGAAAACGAGAGATTGGATGTTATCCCTCAAAATAAGGAGCGGTACATTTCATTTACCAAACATGTTTTGGTGGATAAGATCCCTCTCGATCAATCAGGCAAACAAAAACAGGTATTTTTAAAATTACGCTTCCTCGACAGTTTTCGATTCATGGCATCAAGTCTAGATAAATTATCTCAAAATTTAAAACCAGAACAGTGTCGAGAAGTTAGAAATTTTTTTCCCGCGGAAGATGAGTTTCAGATTATTCGTCAGAAGGGCGTTTTCCCGTATTCTTACGTAGATTCATTTTCGAAATTAGATGACATCAAGCTCCCATCTATTGATGGCTTCTATAACGATCTTAGAAAAGAAGGCATCAAGCAGGAAGATTACAAGCGTGCAAAGAAAGCATGGAACTTGTTTAAATGTAAAACCTTGGGTGAATATTCAGATATTTATTTAAAATCCGACGTTTTGATTTTAGCTGATGTTTTTGAAAATTTCAGAGACGTGTGTCAAGCAACTTACGGTCTAGATCCTTGTCCTTGATACTTTCTTCCTCCTGCCAATAGCTCACATAAATGTAATCACCAATGTAGAATTTAATATCACACTGGCCATCTTTATCGTTGATAGTTTCGAGAAAATATAGAAAGTCTCCAAACCCGTCATAGGTAAATTTTATTGCGGGTTCATTGCTGTGCTGTAAGATAACCTCATTTTTATCATCACTGTATTTAATTTGCACAATATTCTCGATGTTATATTCTTTATAAACTGGTTCGGAAGTAATTATTCCACTGGTTGTTGTTTCAGATTTTGAGGTTGACGCATTATCCCATTTCGAATCCATTTCAAGATTTTATAAACTCCTAATTAGCAACTTCTTTTGCTCGTAAAATTCTATATCTTTTCTCAAGTTAGAGAGATTTTTCAGATAACTTTCGATTCTTTTAGCTACTATACAGCTCATGATCTGAAAATGGACTGAGCTTATTCAGTCAGATGTTCTGTAATTTATAGAAAACAAAAACGGAGTTTGTGAATTTTTTTTTATTGAGGTAAAAGACTTGTGACATAATTATATAATGCATAAACATTCTTAACACTACATAAACAAAAATTAATTCTATGGTTTTTACAATGTGTAAAGCTAGGATTTAACTTAGGAACTACTCCACCCAAATATTCTAAATTAACAATAATTGGAGGATCCACGTTCATTTCTGTGTATACTTTGATTACAAAGTCTTTCTTGATGTGTCCTTTAACATAAACAGTTTCGATGCCTTTCAAATTATCCATGAGCAGTTGATTAAGTTGGTTATAGCTTACATAACCCGCATTGTAGGAGATGCCGTGAAGGTTGTGGAACACGTAGTTTACTTCTTTCTTTTGAGCGTGAGTCAACTCGCGATATAATATTTTTGGTTTAAATATCCAACTATTGATCTGCTTTCCATCATAGATAGCTAATTCCTTAACTAGGAAATCAGCAGAGAAGTAGCCTTGAGCATCTAGTACCACAAACTTCATCTTCAAATGCTCGACGGTGATTGATTAGATCAAGCTACGGACAATTCCTGATAAAGGCAAATACTCCAAAACTCTGTCATGTACAATGATGCAATAGGCTCGAGTATCTTTTGGGAAATTTTCAGAACTCTGAATCTCGAGCATAACATCGATTGTGCTACTTTTTAGCGCCTCATTCTGTTTCGAACAGTCTATTACAAACTTGCATCGATTTGCAAATGAGGTAAAATCCAGTAACGGTTCAGCATAGGTCTTTCCCATATAGGATTTCTGGAATTCCGTGTACATGCGATACACTTCGGTATATTGCCTGTTGTCAAAATTCAGGTTCAAAGATTCGTAGGGGTAAACTTCAGAGTTTAGGTATAGTTTAATATCAGTAATGTTGACATTATCGAAATATGTAACGTCTTTCTGATAGTTGTCTTTACGGTCAGTTTGGAAAAATACAATAACGTATCGTGCTTTCTCCGACATCGATTTCACAGTCCAAACATCTTTCTTCGTGTTACTCATTGCAGGCAATTCATGAATTTCCCAATCACGGAACCCGAAAAAGATTGGTTTATTTTTGGAAATTTCCTCTAATAATTGCAGTTTTAGGACATCGT